CACAGTATCATTTGTAAAACCAGGGCAGTAATAACCACTTCACGAGACTCTTGAGAGGGTTAAATCAATTAACGCATAAGTAAAAAGCTTGGCACAGTGCCTGGTGCAAAGTGACAACTTGGCATAAATGTCACCTGCCTTTACTGTGACTTATGACAAGTCAGTGGCTCAGTAAGAACGAGAACCCAGGTCCAGAGAGCCCTAATCCAGGATCCATGGCCATGACCTGGCCCTGAGGAAATGATGCCCCATGCCAGGAAGCCCACAAGACAAGAGTCTGAGGACAAAGGCTCCGACTCACCCGCTCAGGCCGAGTGCCGCTCTGTTCCAGGCTAAACGTAATCGTGGTGTCCAGTAGCCGCCGACCTGTCTCCACTAGGTAGAGGTTAATGGTGTAGGTCTGGTTGAGGCAAGCCAGAGAGTCCTAGGGGTACAGAGAGTATGGGTCAACTACAGGTATCCCCCAAAGTCCCCCAAAGGAAGTCCAAGGATTGGGGGCAAATACCCAAGAGAAGGAGCCAGCCCGAAAGGGGAAACATTTGCAAAGGAAAATAAAAGGAGAAAAGAAAGCTAAATCCTAAGGCAGAAATAAGGTGCCTGAGTAAATAAATCAAACTACAACTTCTGTATTTGTTTTGGAAGGAAGCCAGTACAGTGTCGCAGAGACTCCCCAAGAGAGGCGAGACTGTGAGCAGGGACAGGGAGCCGGAAAAAGCTTCGGAGACGGAAGCCACAGCAAGAACCTGTGCCTCCAGCCATGGTCTCACGCTTCTGCTTCAGGGCAGCTGCACAGATGACCACTCAACTCTACCAGCCGGGATTCCAAAAGAAATGGGGAAACTGAGACCTGGAGGAAGAAGTACTTAGGGACAGATTCTAGGGATTCTACCTTCTAATCTCCCAAAGAAAAAGATGAAGAGAAACAACACTTAATTTGCAATACTTAGGAAACCCCATTGGAAGCTGGGAAGTCTGAGACCTGCTCCTAGCTGAAGCCATTCCCCCAACTCTACTGGGTGGCCTGTGTCTCTAGGCCTAGCACACTGCCCAATGCCACACCCTACCTTTGGACTAGACTTCTCCGAAAAGCTCCCCAGTGACCCATCTTCAGAATTGCTAGGCTTCTGCTACGGGAAAGAGAAGGACAGGAGAAATTTCAGCCAAAGGGTCACTTCCCAATCATCAAAGTGAAGCTTTTATTTCTACGTCTTCTCTGCACTTGGGAGAAGGCAAATGTCACTTCTCACCCCTGCCCACGAAGCCTATGCAGCCCTTAACAGTCCCAGATGCAAGTGAGGCCATCACATTAGGGTCTCATGCCCGGGAAGAAACAGGGTGTGCAGAAAGCTCTGTCGATGAGGTGAGATCTCATTTCTCAACCTGCTGGGTTCAAACTGACCAGGCGAATGTGCCCAGACTGCTGATTCTCAGCATTCCAGGCATAGATAAGAAAGGAAAACCCCAAGTGCTAGCTATTGTTCTCAATACTCACCGCTTCATTCCGACAGGTCATGACTGCAGCCACCGTCTTCTCTCCAGTGGTAGCAAAGCTCACTAGGGCAGTCTGGGGGAAAAGCCAGGTGTCAGCTCCCAAATGGGGCCTGTACTAGCCAGCAGCCTTGCAGAGGGTTGCTTCTCTGGGAAGGCCCCTTGGCCTTGGAGTTGCAAGTGCTCCCCACTGTGGAGCATAACAGCCAGGGCATTTGAGAGCAGAGGGAGGCCCCAGATGCAGCAACAGCTGAAAATAGAACTCCTCTACCTCCCAAACAGGCACAGGTCAACCCTAAATCCCATGCTGCTCTTAGTCTCTATAGAGATGCTCTAATTTATGTCCCCACTTTCCTGTGGACTCAAAGGAAGACAACTAGTTGTACTCTAAAGATCCTTTGTAACGCTCAGGAGAAAAAGTACCATTTCTACTGTAAGGCTACCCCTCTCAAACCACTGATGGGAAGGTGTCATCAATTTGGGCTTAAGAGCAAATGTCTCTGGAGTCAAAGGCACTGCTTTCTAGCATCCGTGTCATGGCTACATCCTCCAGAATCCTGGGAAACCATGCTGCCTGTAGTTACCTGTGGGAAGTTTTTCAGCAAACTCAGGGCCCCGTGATCGTAATGCAGCAGAGCGTAGTGGTTTGGGGACAACTGCAGGAAGAACTGGGCCCGAGATGGATCCACTGGGTTGGGCTGTGTGGGGAGGACCCGGGGTTGGAATCCACTTCCAAATTCTAAGTCGAGAGACTAGGAGGCAAGAAGGAGGAGGGTTAGAGCTAGAAGCCAACGAGACACTGACCCACCCCAGGCTCACATGCTGTGCCCCACTTTGCCAGGGAAGTAACTAGGCCATGGCAGGTGGCTCTAGAAGCTCCTGTTCAAGTTCGCCAAAGGAGAGACTGGCCCATTTCCCCTTACACCAGCTCAGCCAGAGGACTGAACTTCACCCCATGGCTGCCATGGCTCAGGAAGGAAGCAGTAACACTGGAACACTCTCCAGGGGAATCATGCTGACCTTTCTAAGCCTTGAAGGTAATTCTGTGGGCCAAGGGAAGGAGCTGTAGCCTCTAACCTGCAGTGGGATCTGCCTCAATTCCCACTCCGACTCCAGGGCCAAAGTTTGCAGGGAACGTGAGCTTGCGTCGGGGCACACCAGGACAGCCTCGTCCACCACGCCACAGGCTCCGGCGAGATGCTGCAGCCATGGAGTCGAAACCCTGACCTAGGGGAGCGGCGTCGCAACAGGAGGCTGGTGAAGGATTTTACATTTCCCTCTCAGCTCATCAGCATATCCCTGCCAGAATCCCACTGGGCATCCATCCGAAGCTCAAAAGTTCTTCCTAGTTGGTTCAAAAGAAGTCCTGTCCCCAACACCCCACACCTCCAGCCTCCCAAGAGCCCCCAGAGCTAGAGAAAAAAATCAGGATTTTCTTTCTGGTCACTGGAAAAATATACCAGATAATTCTAAATACCTGATACTTCAAATAAGCATTTCTCTACTATATTTGTCACATGCAGTTTCCTATTGCTATTTTACAGCATTATCTTAGAAAATACTTACAGGCAGCGACTAGATCGATGTAATTTTTAGCTTAGCCAGCCCAGAAGAGCATCATATACAAATACTTTAAATAAATGTCTGATGAGAAGGCAGCTCGCAAGTGATCAGAATCAGGAATCATAAATGGCTTTTGCATCTGCCCGGCCAGGTTCCTTGGTCCCCAGTACAAAGCAGCTCTCAACTCCCCTCCCTATTCACGCAGTTCTTCAAGCTGGACGCCCTGCCATACCTGCTGGACGATCTCTCCGTCTTCGACATTAAACTTGACAATGTTCACGTGGCTGAAGGGAACGACTCCGAGGGCCCACACCACCCCGGAGCCGTAGGAATACACCATCTGGTAGTGGATGCTGTCACTAAGAGAGGGAAGAAGAAGCAGAGAGCAACAGCTGCAGCCCTAGCACAGGGGCATCCTCAGGGGCCCTCCAAAACCAGGATGCCAGTCCTCAGCCAGGTGTCAGTAACCAGCAATCCCAGATAGGTTTTGTTTGGCTCATGCAGTTTCAATTTTGTTTGTTCGTTTTAAATTTGAATTAGTTATCAACATTTAGAACTGAGATTATACTTAAAAATCAGATTTCCAGCTTTTCTTAAAGTTACATGTGGCAACACCAGGCCACCCACAGGCATGGAGGGCACCAATCAGTGGTACGGCTGCCCCCTCGAGGCAGGCCAGGCACACTGCAGCTCCCGACAGTCCCCGGCGGCCTGTGTGCTCTTGGATGTCCTGCACCTGGCCCCACAGGAATTTGAGGTTTTGAGCCCTGCTCCAAACACCTCTCTCCTGCTCCTTCCCAGCTTCAATGATTTCCACCACCAGGACCTCTGGAAACTATCTCAAACCTCATTCAGCCCTACCCTGGGCTCTTCTCAAGTTGTTCTAATTCTTAATACAAACGAAAGGCTCAGTCTAACTTGAACTGGAAGTCAAAAAGCCCAAAGTCCCATGACCAAGAGAAAGTCAGTGCTCCTTCGCTTGCTGGCTCTAGTGCCCCAGACTGAGTTTTCTCCTCACTGCAGAGAAACTACAGAGGTAGCCTCCGCCTTCGAGTTCAGGCCAAGATCTAGCGAGTGTAAGACCTCCACACAATACCAACACAAGGCAGGCTTGGGTCAAAACAAATGCTTCGGGACCCTCAAGGAAAAGGAGGGTCTTGCAGAGAGCAGCATGAGGCAGCTGTCGCTGTGAGAGGCAGCCTTACCTTTCTGGGAGATGTTCCACCCACTTGAGGTGCCCACTGGAGAGGTGATGAAGGGCAAGAGTCGTCTTCTTCAGGACCGCGACGTACCTCACTGACTCCTGCAGGCCGACTAGCCCAAGTGCCTGGAAACTGAGCACAGGCACAGGCTGAGCAATGTCCACACCTGCAGAGCCATGGGCTGGAGGAGACAGTCCAGAACACTACCACTGTTGCTCGGGGGGTAAGGAAATAGGCTTTGGGTCAAACATACCTAGATCCTAACTCTGGCTCTGCCTCTCATTAGCCGACTTAAGAGCCTGTACTTGCATCCATTCGGCCACACTGCTTCCCTAAAACCCCCCAAATCTCCTAAAGGTTGTTTCCTCCCTACCCTGGGACTTCACAGCAACTGGACCAACCTTCTACCACACAGACAGTGCTATCATTAGTGGGCTAGGTGCCTGCCTCCCCAGCTGATGGTGAACTAACTCCCTGATGACAGAAACATTCAGGTGTGCTGCCATCGCGTAGGGGCTCACCAAGTGTTTACTGAGTGAACTGCTATCAGAAGATGCATAACTAATGCAAATCACCCTATCATTTAAAAAACCTTAGCAGAGATGTAACAGTAACTCAAGCTGTTCTCTAAACATAAAACTGAAACACTGACGGTTTTATATTATGTTTTTATATCTAGAACATCTGAAAACTCACAAGTCATGTTAAGATTAGGAAAAGCATTCAAGTACACAAACAACCACTGCACCTTGCACAGAGCTCTGCATCTAACAGGTGCTCAATTAATGTTGGCTAAGTAAACATGTGTTCAATAACCTCAGGCACATCCAGAACTGGGCATTTGATATTCATGTTCACTATATTTGGGCTTTGCAGTGGTCCCTGGGAAAAAACCACAAGGCCTGGAGTTGCTGTCTATGCAGATCTGTGTTCCAGCAAAGCCTTTAACTCAGTCAAGATAAAATCCAGTTTCTTCCCCTACCTGCCACTGTCCAAGGTTATCTCCCAGTTCAGGCCCCCGATGTTAGTCTCCCAGGAACGCATGATTCGGCCTCCATTGGACACAGTGATTGCATCTGGAAAAGACAAGACCGTGGTGAAGTCATTTCCCAAACCTGCTCTGTCACTGCCTAGGGTCTGTGAGCAGTGGCCTCACCTCTGATTTATGGGTGCAAATAAATGTTAAACAGGTATCTTCACTGCCAGAAGGACCCTTTCCCCTTCCCCTACCAAACCCTGTACAAGGGAAGGAATCAAGGAATAGGATAGGGAGTCATGATGGAGACACAGCAGGACCATGCTTACCCTGTCCGTGCAGCAGCATGGCGTCCACAGCCCCTTCTGCCGTGCCCTTGTCAACATGGCGCCACACTGAGACATGAAAGTCAGACGTTACTATGGACCAAAGAGAGGCATCCAAGAAGACTAAGAGGTAACTGAAGAGCTCTTCATTTGCACAGTGGTGTCCAATTTTATTTCAAGGGAGGGAAAGAGTGCAGCCAACTAGCAATGAGCCAGTCCTACCCACTGCGTAATCCGGGGAGGAGGGGTTGAGAGGAGACAATACTATCCAGGCCCCACTATGATCCCATCAAACATATAAATGAACAATGACAAGATTAACAGAATCCATCCCATTTGCAAGAAAAATAGTGATTGTAAATTCTATTTCCACAATTTTAGTGCCTGAAAACATCCAGCCAGTATAGGTAATTAAGCAAGGCATCTGAGCCTTGACTGCAAAATAGAATAATGTGGTTTCTGCAGCAATATCTTATTTAAGGACATTCAGGACTCAGGCTGAGGAAATAAACTGCAAAGGCCAGTTATAAGAATATATTAAATACTCCAAGATGGCAAGACTGAAAAAAAAGTATCAGAATCCACAAAGAGAGGCATCTTTTTCTCTAACTTGGAAAGCAGCCAGGCAGACTTGGCAAGCACTGGCCATTCGGCTTCACTATCGTCAGCCTTCCCACCCCCACGCCTACCGGTCTACACAGCTCACTCACAGATCTCCCCAGTGCGAGAATTCAATGCTGCAATCACATTCTTCTCTGTGGCCACAACCAATTTCTTGGATCCAGGGGAAAATTCCAAGGAGGCAAACTTGACCTTCCCAACATACTGCTGTCTCCTGAGGAAAAGAGGGCGGGGGAACATAAGGGGCCCAAATCATCACTGCACAAAATGCTCTGGAAAAAGACAAACCACAGGGTTATCACCAGCACACCCATCTTAGGACATACAAGAAATACTTGTTAATGAGGAGATCTGAACTAAAGCAAGATTTCCATGCAATACGGTTAGAAGCAAAGGAAATAAGAGATGAGAATTACCTCCTAATAGATGAGAAATACTAACGGTCTTCCTTCTAACTGGAAGCACATATTTACCTTAAGATAAGTGACACTCAGAAGAGTACGTGGTCTAAACCCCACAAGAACAAACATTATGGACCTCTGGTCCTCTCTGTGTCCACTGATAGTGGGACCAAGCACTCAGCCGACAAACAAAAGAAGAGACACAAACCCTGCCCTCAATGAGCACACAATCCAACTTTCCTTTCCATTTTCACTGACTACTGGAGAAAAAAAGTATGCAAAACTTCCAACCAGACTCCATAGATTGGGTCAGGCCCTTGTTCTCTCCAGCCCTTTCTAGCCCACACACATATTCAGGATCCATTTGAATCTGCTCTCATACTTTCCTTGGGCCATACTCCGTCACGTTCAACACTATCACCTAAGCATAAAGGGAATATAGTTAGCCTCACACGGTGGACTACTGAGAACAGAGGATGTGTTTTGTATTTGCTTGCATGTTGCTGTTAATGAAGTACTGCAATCTCTAGCACATTGAATACACGTGACCATGACATTTACACTGAATTTCTCACCATGATAGTTTAGTCTAGCTAAAAAAAAAAAAAAGAAAGCTGATGGTAGAGAGCCAGGTTTATACGACATTTGTCAGTTCTACCTGTATTTCCACATTTCTCACTGTACCCACTGAACAACTCTACGAAGTGAATAGGGCAAATATTATTACCCCATATTACAGGTGAGGAAACCAAAGTCCAGAGAGGTTCAGCGAATTACTGTCAGAACTAGAACCCAAACTAAGACCTTCTGACTAAATACCATTCTCTTTTAAAAATATTGTTATGTTTTATCCGAACTACAAAAATGCCTGCTTGCTCATTATGGAATATGTGAAAAAACATAAAGATATAAAAATAAAATTTTAAATACCTAAAATACCACCATTCTGGATTGTATCCCCCAAAATTCATTATCTTGTAACTCTTAATCCCCCCAATGTTACTGTATTTGAGGACAGGACCTTTAAAAAGGTAACTAAGGTTTAATGAGCTCAAAAGTACAGGATCCTAATCCAATAGGACCGGTGTCCTTAAAAGAAGAGGAAGAGACACCAGGGATGTTCGAGTACAGAGAAAAGGCCATGTGGGGACACAGCAAGAAGGCAGCCAAGGAGAGAGGCCTCGGGAGAAACAAAATCTGCCAATACCTTGATCTTGGACTTCCAGCCTCCAGAATTGTAAGAAAATAAATTTGTTGTTTAAGCCCCCCAGTCTGTGGTATTTCATTACAGCAGTCTAAGCAAACTAATAACAACTATAGATTGCAACTATATACATTATAGTTAGTTACTTTATAGATAACAACTATATACTTTAACATTTTGGTGTACAGTCACGCAGCACATTTAACAAAGTTTCAGTCAGTGACAGACTGCATTTATAGTGGTGAGCCCATAAGATCATAATGGAGCTGAAAAATTCCTATTGTCTAGCGGGTGGCGTCATAACATCGTAGCACAAAGCATTACTCACATGTTTGTGGTGATGTTGGTGTAAACGAACCTACTGCACTGCTAGTTGTATAAAAACATACTAGTTAATGATGATAATGACTATGTTACTGATTTATGTATTTACTACATTTTTTTAATTAGGATTTTAGAGTATACTCCTTCTGCTTACAAAAAGAAGTTAACTGTAAAACAGCCTCAGGCAGGTCCTTCAGGAGATGTTCCAGAAAAAGACACTGTTATCAGCAATGACCTCCATGCACATTATTGCCCCTGAAGACTTTCCAATGGGAGGTGGAAGAAAGTGATGCTGAAGATCCTGACCCTGAGAGGGCACAGGCTAATGTGCGTGTTGGTGTCTTAGCTTTTAACAAAAAAGTATAAAAAGTAAAAAATAAAAAATTTTTAAAACTCTGAAGGATAAAAGCTTATAGCATAAGTCTATAAAGAAAGAAAATATTTCTGTATAGCTGTACAATGTGTTTGTGTTTTAAGCTAAGTGTTATCAACAAGAGTCAAAAAGTTTTAAAAAATTAAGAAGGTTATAAAGTAAAATGTTACAGTAAGCTAATTTGTTATTGAAGAAAAATATTTTTAAAAATTTAGTGTAGGCTGGGCGCGGTGGCTCACGCCTGTAATCCTAGCTCTCTGGGAGGCCGAGGTGGGTGGATTGTTTGAGCTCAGGAGTTTGAGACCAGCCTGAGCAAGAGCGAGACCCCGTCTCTACTAAAAATAGAAAGAAATTAATCGGACAACTAAAAATATATAGAAAAAATTAGCCGGGCATGGTGGCGCATGCCTGTAGTCCCAACTACCGGGAGGCTGAGGCAGGAGGATCACTTGAGCCCAGGAGTTTGAGGTTGCTGTGAGCTAGGCTGACGCCACGGCACTCACTCTAGCCCAGGCAAGAGTGAGACTCTGTCTCAAAAAAAAAAAAAAAAATTTAGTGTAGCCTAAAGGTACAATGTTTATGAAGTCTACAGTAGCATACAATAATGTTGTAAGCCTTCGCATTCACTCAGTGATTCACCTAGAACAACTTCCAGTCCTGCAAGCTCCATTCCTGGTAAGTAACCTACACAGGTGTACCTTTTTATCTTTTATACAGTATTTTTACTGTACCTTTTCTGTGTTTAGATAGGTTAGGTATACAAATACTTAGCATTGTGTTACAATTGCTACAGGAATGTGCTGTACATGGAGCAATGGGCTGTACCTTACAGCCTAGGTGTGTAGCAGGCTATCCCATCTAGGTTTGTGTAAGAATACTCTATGATGTTCGCACAACAATGCATTTCTTAGAATGTATCCCCGTCATCAAGCGACACATGACTGTATCTCCTGTTTATTTTTCAATTTGAAAATTGCATATACCTAGTATTCTGCTAAATTAGATACACATATCCCCTGCTGTATACGTGCAATATGTACATATGACATTCTGAACATTTGTACACATCATTGTATTTGTCACACTGTCTGGCACAACAGGCATTCAACGCATATACGAATCAGTTTTTCCAAGACAGAAAATACTTCACAGAGGAGGAGATATCTGAGCTGACCCCTGAAGGACAAAGTGTAAATGGCAATAATAATGGGTAACATTTAATGATTGCACTTAATGAGCCAGGCATTGTGCTAAGTAATTTAATGGGGTTATTTCATTCATTCTCACAACTACTGTAGGAGATAATGGACTGTTAGAAAACCCATTCTAAAGACCGGGAAACCAAGGCACAGAGTGGTTAAGGCACTTTCTGAAGATCACACAACCTGTAAATGGCAAAATGGACGTTCAAACAAAAGCGAGCTGACTTCAGGGCATTAAGGAAGAGTGAGTGAATGAATGAATGGGTGGATGATTGGCATTTCCTGCTGATTAGAGTTTGGGGCATCCCTGCTGTGAGTCTAGGGCTGGGCTAGGCTGAAGGGAGGGGGACTCAGTTTAGGACTTGTAAGACGAAAGCCCCTGTTTACATGCCTACAAGACATCAATTCGAATAGGAATGAAAGTTCACTGAGAGCTGGCGACCTCTAACACTCGACAAACCAGAAACCTGACAGTCATAGAAATGAGACCTGACGGGAAGGTAGAAATCAGTGACCTCTGACCCGAACCCCAAGCACGCCTGAACGGCAGGACTGGCTTCACAGGTGTATAACCTGTAGAGTCACACAAGGATAGGCTTAGAATGACCCCCAACGCTTGATTTAAAGCTCTGCTGTAGACGTCTTAAAACCCTTGATAATTTTTTAGCAGATAGCCCCACGTATGCATTTTGCACTGGGTCCCGCAAATTATGTAGCCGGTTCTGCTGCACGGCAAACCTCCTCCCTTTAGCAAGTAGGAGACAGGTACTGGGAAAACAGCTACATATTTCCCGAATAGGCCCCAGACGTACGCACCAATCAAACTTGCCCACTTGGTCTTCATAGACCGCGGCCGCAGGGAAAAGCAGCGCAGCCCAGAGCCAGAAACCGGGAACCAATGCCGCAGCCATGATGGGAGCACAGGAAACGCCCGCCGCCGGCCCGGCATGCACCGGGCCGCAGGCTCCGCCTCCGCGGAACCATAGAGTTGAGGCTGCGCGCAGGGCCTTCGGTGGAGGGCTTGGGACTCGGAGGACGCCTGGACGCGTGGATAGTCGCCCAGCCGACGCGGGATAAAGTGCAAGCAGCGGCCCGCCAGGGAGCTTCGCAGATTGGGTCAGGCACACGCGAGGGCAGCCTCCGAGGGACGTCCCAGAGGCCCCCGCGCGGCAGGGTCCTAACGGGCCGCACCGCCTTCCGCCGCACGTGTGTTCAGCGCGATGCCCAAATCCAAGCGTGACAAGAAAGGTGGGAGAAGGGGGAGTCGGGACCCCACGGGGATCTCCGCGGGCTGGCTTCCAAACCCGCGATGGGGGCTTCGGGGAGGCCAGGACACAGGATGGCACGCCAGGACTTCCGCGAGGTGTCCGCGGCCTTGCTGAGAGCTGGAGTGGGAGCTTCGGGGCGGCGGAATCGCCGGAGGGTGGTGCAGCCTGGTTGGGACAAGACAGCGGAGACTCCTTTGCCCAGCCACTAGTGCCCTTGCCAGGCCTACTGGGCCTGGAGACAGCACCTGCCTACTCGTGTTGGCATCTCTCTCACCCTAGCATATTCAGTAAATACTTATTACGGGACTGGCATTTTTTAGGCGTTGGAGGATATAGCAGGCCTAGTTTAATTAGAGAAAGCCCACAAAACACCAAAAGTCGAACAAATATAGTATGTCAGATGGGATACAGAGAAGTTGGAAAGATATTTTGCTCAATGGTATCAGGAAAGGTCTCACTGATGTGACAAATGAGCGGAAACCTGAAGAAAGGAAATGAGTATCCTGTGGAATTCTCCGGGCAGATGATGTTCCAATTAGAGGGAACATGAAGTGCAAAGGCTCCAAAGTGGAAGCATATTTGACATGTTTGGGGACAAAGAGGCCAATGTGGCTGGACCAGGGTGTGCCAGACACAGTTGGGGGAGGGGAGTTGGGCAGAGAGGGCAGGACTTCATAGGTAGGGAATTGACTTTCACACCCAGGTGAAGTGCGTAGCCATCCTAGAGCTCAGGCAGAGGGTTCATGTGATTCACCTTTACCTTTAAAGGGTTACTGTAGTTGTCTTGTTGAGAACAGCCTGGGGAAGATAGGAGTGGAGGGCAAGGATGGAAGCGGTGAGGCCCGCAGTAGTCCAAAAGAGGGTGATGCTAGCGTGGACCAAGGGTATGGCAGTGCAGATGATGGAAAGTGTCCTGCCGTATTTCGTTTGCCCTCCTTTGCTGCACTTGCCACTGACTTGTGTGATTGCCTTTGTATGTGCATTGTGAAAAGGGACTGTGAGTGTCAGGCAGGGTGAAGAAAAAGAGGCCAGGCCCCTTCCCGAGGGCACCCAGGGCTTTGCAGTTGATGCTCTGGGTTTTCTGTTTGTTTGTTTTAGAGACAGGTCTCACTATGTTGCCCAGGCTGGTCTCAAACTCTTGGCCTCAAGCAGTCCTCCAGCCTCAGCCTCCCAAATAGCTGGGATTACAGGCAGGAGCCACTGTACCCAGCCTAGTTGGTGCTCTGTTAAGTGTTTATGGACAATTTGATTCTGTGGAGGGGTCCCAAGTCAGATCTGGCAAACCCTGCTGGGTGGGGGGAAATTGGGCCCCCAAGAGGCATTGCAACACAGAAGTGCAGATATATAACAGAGGAGATTCAGTCCCCAGACTCATCATTCACCAGCACAGGCGAAATCTGCCACTGAGAGCATTCCAACAGCAGAACAAGCCCCACCTCCACACTGCAGTGGAGATTTTGGGGTTAGTCTAAGGGGCTACGGAACAGCTGGTTTGCCTAAGTAGCAGGAGATGTGTCAAAGGATCTTTAGACGAAGGAATGCTAGAGAATAACTACTCTATGGACCCTGGGAATAGCTTTGCATGCCAGAATGATGGCAGCGAAGTCTTTGCTGTCTTTGTTTCCTCATAATAGCTGGGTCCAGCTGGGCTATCCAAGGGGAAAAGAATATGAGTCTCCAATGCATCCAGGTTTATCTCTCATCATGTCTCTTCTTTTCTTCTTTGTATTAGTTTCCTTAACCAAAACTGCCAAGAAAGGCTTGGAACTGAAACAGAACCTGATAGAAGAGGTAAGAGCTTGTTCTTTTTATTTTTCTAGAGCTTATGTTTGTTTTATAAAGGTGAGCATAGGACTTATTGTCAGAGGAGCATACTGTTAAAAAAAAAAAAAAAACCACCAAGCTGCTGATCCAGCCCCTTTCCCTCCAGCAGCAGCACCAGTAGGAACTCCCACAAAATGGTGGTTTCCATCCTTGACTGAGCTCTTACTCTGTGCCCTGCGCTGTGCTCAGTGTTTCATGAGTGTTGTTCCACTCCACCCTCATAACATCCCTGTGAGGCCACAACTAGGCGATGTTATCAGTGTTTTGCAGTTAGGGTCGCCGATGCTTGCAGAGGTTTGTTCGCCTGCCCAGTGTCAGAAGGCTAGGGAATTTACACTGACCTGCCATCCGTCGTACTGCCTGTGGCCTACCAGCCTGGACTGCAGGCCAGGTGAGCAGAGTCTCCTCCTGCACAAAGATTCCATTCCTTGAGACCACTTTGTGATGGCTTTGGCTAGTCACCTGGGCAGAGCAATGCCAGTGAGCCACCTCATTATTTACTGATAGGTAAATCAGTCAATTATTTACTGATAGGTACCTATCAGTAAATAATGAGGCTCCATATGTTGGCATTTAGCAGGAGCTTTCCTAGTATGGGTAAATGTTTCTGGGTTGACAGTTAAAGGTCAGTTCTACTTTGGGTCACAGATAGCAGATACGTCAGAAAGCTGGCAGGTAGCATGGGGCCTAGATCCATGGCTCCACTTCCCTTGTAGTTAGTGGTCCTGGTTTCAGTAATGGAGGTAGGGAGACAACCAGATCAGAGGCTTCCCCAGCTTTCCACAGTCGTTAGGGGCCTAGAGCAGATTCGTTACATCTGAGGCCAGAGTAGTGCCCCACCTGTGCTGCACCTTGAACTCCAGAGCCTCGTGAATTGTCCCGCAGCTTCGGAAATGTGTGGACACCTACAAGTACCTTTTCATCTTCTCTGTGGCCAACATGAGGAACAGCAAGCTGAAGGACATCCGGAATGCCTGGAAGCATAGCCGGTGAGCAGGCAGTGGGAAGAGTGCCCTTCTGAGTGGGGAAGGGGCCAGGCTGCTCACAGTCAAAGCACAGAAGCAATGCCTGACCCCTTGGGTACCTGTGTCATGCAGGTGGTACCTTAATAAGGACAAAGTGCCATCCTCTGCTGAAGAGCCATTCTTTTTAACTGCCAAAGCTGGTGTCAGCTCCTGGGGGCAGGACTTGTTAATTACCCGGGGTGTGTTTGAGGAATGGTCCTTTCAGAGGAAGTAGCCCCTCAATTCTGGAGTCTGGGCCTTTTATTAGGAGCATCACACAGTTCAGAATGTCAGCGTGTGCACCAGGACACAAGACAGTGACCCAAGAGCAGGCTGCGGAATCCATGTGGCTCTGGTGATCAGTCTCTTGCTGCGCTGTTCTGATTACAGCCATTAAATGTGCCTCCTCCATAGATCCAGTCTGGGAGGATTGTCACATAATGCTACAAAATGTTGACAATGTCAGGGATCCGTGGGTGGGGAAATAATGAAAGGGACCCTGGGCTGGGGACACGGAGTGTGGGTGCGCAGTGTAGAGAAGTAGGAGCCTCTGGCCACATGTCCTGCCACACAACAGCCTCGGCCTGGGCTCACTGTGGGCTCCTGGGGACTGGAGCTGGTTTACATTTAGCTGAGGGAAGGGGAGGGCAGGACACTACCTTCATAAACCCCTCTTTCTTGGTAGGATGTTCTTTGGCAAAAACAAGGTGATGATGGTGGCCTTGGGTCGGAGCCCATCTGATGAGTACAAAGACAACCTGCACCAGGTGGGTTGCTGGCCCTTGCTGGGCGCAGCCCAGGCAAAGCGGCCTTCTCTCCTGCTGCTCCTACATGACACCCCTCCCAGCCATCTGGCCAGCTGTGGTCAGGGAGAGCAAGGCCTGGCTCAGAGCTCTGGCTTCTCCCTTGACCTCCAGACCCAGGGAATGGCACTCTTCCTGCCCCCACCCCTCCCGCTGTGACAATAAGAAATGTGAGATGCCTCCTGTAGAAAACCACCACTCCAGTGTGACCAAACTGACCTCACTTGTGATTTGTAGGTCAGCAAGAAGTTGAGGGGTGAAGTTGGTCTCCTTTTCACCAACCGCTCGAAGGAGGAAGTGAACGAGTAAGCATTTCCGAGGAATGGAGGGGAAGAGCAAGGGGATTCCGGGGAAGGAATAATGCAGGGACTTTGTCCAGTATGGAGGCATCAGGTTGAAACTGGTTCCTAGAAGCCTATTATGCGGCTGGTGGCCAGTGACCGGTGACCAGAGCCATCTCTGTCCTCTCCAGCACAGCACTCTGGGCTGGCTGCCAACCAGCGGCTGGGGTGGATGGGAGGGACAGCCCAGGGCCATGGGACACCAGGTGGGCTGGGGAGCCAGTCAAGAAGCTCCCCTCCTACTACTTCTCTTTTCCCTAAGGTGGTTCACGAAATACACAGAAATGGACTTTGCCCGAGCTGGCAACAAAGCCACTTTCACCGTGAGCCTGGATCCGGGGCCCCTGGAGCAGTTCCCCCACTCCATGGAGCCGCAGCTGAGGCAGCTGGGCCTGCCCACTACCCTCAGGAGAGGTACGGGCAGTCCCTGGATTTGAGAGGTTCCAGCCTAGGGCCCAAGAGCACCGGCTTCCGGGGGCTCCCCTCTCTGGCTGGGCACGTTGCTTCTACGAGCCTCCGTTTTCTCATGTGAAAGTGGGGTTAAGAGTGCCCACCTCATGGTTGGGGTGGAAGTGGACAGTAGCTTACAGTCAGACTACGGCACTGAGGGACAGCAGGGAGCACACAGCACTGCTGGTGTGTGCTGGAGCTGCGGGGAGCAGGCAGCCGACTGGATTCTTCCAGCTGAGCAGGGGCAGAGAGGGCTCTGCAGGTTTCTGGGCCAGAAGTAACTTGGGCCCACCCCACTGCAGGTGTGGTGACCCTGCTGTCCGACTACGAGGTGTGCAAGGAGGGCGACGTGCTCACCCCGGAGCAGGCCCGTGTCCTGGTAAGTTCGGCCCCTTGAGTGCTCTGGCGGGAGGGACGGCTGCTTTGCCTGCCGAGAACCTTGCCCTGCCCTTCTGATTGCACTCATTCCTCCTGACTCTTTGTTCCCCTCGTCTCTTGCAGAAGCTTTTTGGGTACGAAATGGCTGAATTCAAGGTGACCATCAAATACATGTGGGACGCACAGTCAGGAAGGTTCCAGCAGATGGGAGATGACTTACCAGAGAGTGCATCGGAGTCGGCCAAAGAATCAGAGTCAGACGATGACGACTGATGGGATCTCAGGACTGAGGACCTCCCTGCGCTGAGCGGGTTGTGCTGGACCACGCGGGACTGCTACCGCCCCTCCGGAGGGAGAGCTCTTTATTTGGCTGTAGAGGAAGACGGGAGGGTGATGGGCACTGACTGTTCCTGTAAAGAATGAAACTTCACAGGGTGTCTCCCTGGAGACAACAAAAGGAACTTTTCTTAGGAAAAAAGGCCTTCGGACTTGTGCTTCTCTTTGGAGTCCCAGGATTCCCTTCGTTCACCTTGTCTGCCCGTTTCCCCACGGCTCCTGCGGGACCACTGTGCCAGCGGGCTCTGGAGACGGCCAAGAGCAAACCTCAGAGCTGGGGTTTCTCCTCCAGCCCTGGCTGCCCCTTGCTTGGAAGAGGGATTTGCTGAGTAAATGAGGCGCCCTGGCTGCCCTTCCTACTCCACACACACGCCCCTCACACCCCACACCCCCCCAGACCAGGGCCGAGGATCTCACGGATGCCGGGAAGACAGGAGACTGTAGCTAAGACAAGAGTGAAGTCACTGCTGAAGCTGAGAACAGTGTTGAAACTGTTCCACAGCATGTTGGGAGGTTTTACTCTTGGTGACTCTAACAGTAGGTTTTGCCCATATTCTATTTGTGAGTATTTAGTGAAGGCAGTTCTGAACAAGAGAAAAACTTCAGGGAATAGGGCCATCTTTTGTCTTCTGTCATGCATAGTAAAGAGTCACCTCCAACCCCACTGTTGAAAGGTCAGGCTGCACCCTGTGAGCAGTGTGCCCCCAACACCCTCCCACTGCCTCTGTCCTTCGAAGACTTCGGTCCATACTCCTGCCCCCTCCACACCAATCCCTAAGGAAGGACAGCAGGAAGCAGGCCACAGGCCCAGGTCAGGTGCCAGCCTTATTCCCCAGGAAATGCAAATCTGCAAACTGGGATGAGGGAAAGAACAGGCTAAATCAGCCTAAGGCCAAAACTGGCAAGAGGGAGAGGATGACAGAGGTGACAAACAGTGCCTTCTGCACCTCGAGTCAAGCCTAAGCCTGGAGGAAGTAGGGACATTTGTAGGCAACCAGGTGCCAGGCTTGGTCAAAGGCATCTGCAACAGCTGGCTCCAGGGGCCCTTCCACAGTGGCTAGAATGACTATGTCCCTGGGGACAGCCTGCAAGGGGGAACAGCCAGGCTTTGACACACTGCTGCACAGTGACTCCGCTAACCCCTTCCAGCCATGCCATCGTCAAGATCTGGGCTCTGGTTACTACGTGCAAACAGTACAGTAGCAGACCCAAGTTCAGAGCCACTCACCTGCCGCTCAGCAGCTGGGTAAACCTGGGTTAGTGACGTGGCCTTTCAGCTTCAAACTTCCTTTTCTTTACGGAGTGGTTGTGGGAGTTAGTGAAGTATGTTGCTTGGGGCCTGGTCCTTAGCAGGTGCTCACTAAAGAGCAACCGTTACTATATGATGCCCAAGTTGGAGAAGGGTTGGCAAAATGGGATGGCGCCTTCCAAAAAAGCACAAGCTAAGCACCCAGGGTCTGCTGGTTACCTGCAGCTGTGAATAGTGGTATGTCCACCGCAGGGCAGCTAAGGTCATCCCGGGGCTGCTGGTGCCATAAGCAGCCTGCCTTCACCAGGGTAGTGGCTTTGAAGTACTTCCAGAGTCTGGACATGTGGGGAGGGTGGCACAAGGGTCAGCACCTTGGGGTCACCCTAGAGCAGCCACCTGCACCCCTGGTGGAGGAGGAGGCAGCCTGAAGCACTGGGGGACCAGTGTTGTCTCAAGTGCAGGTTTTACATGTGAGTGTCAGGACGCATGCAGACTTCAGGGCCCCTCATCGGGGTACTGTTTTTAGTATGGGGTGAGTGGAGGGGATGCAGTGGGCAAGAATCCCCCAAATCAGGACCCCCGAGCACCTGCAGCACCACACCTGTGTGCCCTGGGTGACTGAAGGCCCCGTGACAAGCCCTCGGCTCCAGTCCTGGCTCTGTGGCCTTGGCCCAGCTGCCTCCCCTCCCTGCTCTCCCTTAGCTACTCCGTGATGAATGGAAACACCCTGCCAGCCCCACACAGTGAGTGCCAAGTGTAAGGGAGGTCAGGGGTGTGGCCAGGCTTTGCAAACTGTAAAGAGCAGAGGGGAACCCACAGGCCTTGATTCTCCAGGGGTGGGGCCTGGGCCCAGCAGTGTAAAAATTTTAACAACCAGCACTTGGGACAATGGTTCCTAAACCTGGCCAGGATTATCAGAAACCCAGGGGGCAGTGCCAGATAAGGATTTAAATCACAGCAGTGCATACAAGATGGATCTGATACTATTTAATAGACACTGCTGTTCGAGTTCTTGGCTGTTTCAAAACACTAGCACTGGTCCCTTTTGCACAAGCCTGCCTTGCTTTTGCCCTCCTCCCAGGGGGAGAAAATAAAAAGCAAGCAAGTAAATCATACTGTACTCAGAAATTAACTTTGGAGACTTGGCTTCTGTAAGTCTGGAAAGATTAGTTCTCTAGGAGTCCACAAATGATGTCTAAATGTGATAAATTAAATGTATGCTTTAGAGATACCACAGTAACTGCCAGAAGGAAAGAAAGCTGTAAGAGTTTAGAAAGTTACCTCTAGGAATGGTGCTTGGAAAGGGGCAGCTTTTAACCATGGGCCAAAAACAAGTAAGAAAAGGGACGGAAGAAGGCTGGCCCCAGCAGCTGCTCAATTATGACAATACATTGATGACAATTTTATTGTCAAGAGTTTAAAAAACTGAGATTTATTTTTCCCAAGATGCCAGAGCCAGCCAGTAGTAGAACCAAGTCCCGGGTTGCCCAAGTCCTAGCCCAGGGTTCCTCCCCTGCTGTGGGCAGGGGGTGAGCTCTTCCCAGGGAAGAGACCTGGGAGAAGGCCTGGCAGGAAACCAGGAATCCACGCCCCAGGCCCCCAGAGCCCTGCCCAGAGAATGGTGATAATGTCCATGGGAGGGAAGGACAGGGACAACAGGGAGGTAGGTCTGAGCACCGGGAGGAGGTGCGGCCCCCCAGGAAAGCAGCCCCCGGGGATTCCCTCTCTCAAACTAAGGGGACCCGCACCACTTCCCACCCTGTCAGGCCCACTCTCCCAGCTCACCAATTCAAATTTAAAAATCAGTTAATTCGAATAATAATTAAATTTTTCTTCCATCCAATTCACAGAACCAAAGTATATTTGGCAGTTTGCTTTGTCAAAGGTGAAGCATCTGACACTATTCTGAATGCTATTTTATTCAGTTACAAAGTTCAACATTGAGGATAGTAATTTGTTTCTGCAGTGGACATACACTGGTGGGGCACAACGTGGTGGTAAAAATAGCCTTGCTAAACTGAAAACCTGCGGAGCAGAAATGCACTTGCTCATAAGCAGCTACGGAGCCTGATGCTCTTACCTTCCTATTGCTTCTGCAACGTGCTCAGAATTCCAGATGTGAGACGCTGGCGACGTCAACCACCCCAATCACTAGAACAGCGGCCAGAATCACAGGAAGCGAGCGGGTCAGCCCAGAAGCCCTCCCGCCAGCCCTAAGCTTCAGTAGCTCCTTCCTCACGGATTCCCACATACAAAACTCACACCACCTCTCTCTCCATTCTTTTATACACTACGGACCAGTTTCCTTAGTGTGAGGATGATTAAATATGTTTGATGCTTTCCAGATCCAACTCTGTTCCTTTAGATCTGTTTGTTCCTTCTCACTTACTTGTTTTTAAATTAACAAAAACTGTATATGGGGCCGAGCACGGTGCTTCACGCCTGTAATCCCAGCACTTCAGGAGGCTGAGGCAGGAGGATTTTTTGAGGCCAGGAGCTCAAGACCAGCCTGAGCAACATAGTGAGAGCCCTTCTCAACAAAAAATACAAAAATTAGCTGGGTCCAGTGGTGCACAGCTGTAGTCCCAGCTACTTGGGAGGCTGAGGCAGGAGGATCACCTGAGCTCAGGAGTTCAAGATTGCAGTAGCTATGATGGTGCCACTGCACTTTAACCCAGGCAACACACCAAAACCTCGTTTCCAAAAAAGCATCTTGGGGTGCTTGGAAGCCAGCTGCCATGCTGCGAGGGGAAGCCCAGGCCACGTAGAGAGGTCACGTGTGCCAGTTCAAGTCCAGCGGACGTCAGCACAAACTGAGTGAATCAATCTCCAGGTGATTCTAGTCTCTAGCTTTAAGATCACCTCTCAGACACTGGAAAACAGGAGCGGCTTCCCCACTGAGCCCTGCCCAAACAGCAGATTTGTGATTGTTATTTTCTTTTTTTAAATAACTTTATTGAGACATAATGTAGACACTATACCATTCGCCCAATTAAAGTGTGTAATTCAAATGGTTTTTAGTGTATTCAGAGTTGTACAACCATTACAATCAATTTTAGTCCATTTTCATCGCCCCAAAAAGAAACCCCGTCCTCATTAGCAGTCAATCTCCATTTGCTCCCCACACCCCTCCCAGCCCTAGGCAACCTCTTGTCTCCTTTCTGTGTCTATAGATTTGCCAATTCTGGATGTTCCACGTAAACAGGATCATACGGTACATAAACTTCCTTAACGTGTCTGCAAGGCTCATTCACACTGCAGAGGTTCAGTACTTCACTTTTTATGGTGAATAATATTCCACTGTATGACCGTATCACATTTTACCCATTAATTCATTGATGGAGATTTGGGTTGTTATTTGCTGTTATGAGTAATGATGCTATGAATGCTCATGCACAGGGTTTTTGTGGGAACATACTGTTTTTACTTCTCTGGGGTTTATACTTAGGAGTGGAGTTGCTGGATCATATGGTAATTCCATGTTTAGTCTTTTGAGGAACCGCCAAACTGTTGTCCAAAGTGGTCACACCATTTCACATTCCCATCAGCAGTGTATGAAGATGCCAGTTTCTCCACATTTCAGCAGCACTTGTTATGGCCTGTCCTTTCATCATAGCCATGCTGGTGGACGTGAAGTGATGTCTCTTTGTGGTTTTGATTTTTATTTCCCTGGTGGGTAATGATGTTGAGTGGTTTTTCATCTGCTTCCTGGTCATCTGTATATATTCTCTGGAGAAAGGTCTATTCAGATCCTTTGTCCATTTTTCAATTGGATTATTTGTATTTTTATTGTTGAGTTGTAAGAGTTGCTTATATAGTCTAGGTACATGATCTGATAAATGATTTGCAAATATTTCCTCTTATTCTGTAGGGTGTGTTTTCACTTTTTTGATTATGTCTTTGAAGCACAAAAGTTAGAAATTATGATGATGTCCAGTTTACCTAATTTTTTTTTTGTTGCTTATGCTTTTGAAGCCCAATCTAAGAAACCATTGCCTCATGTGAGGTAACAAAGAATTAATCCTTTATTTTCTTCTAAGAGTTTTTATCATTTTAGCTTGTACGTTTAGGCCCTATGATCCATTTTGTGTTAATTTTTTTGTGTATGGTATGAGGAAGGGGTCAAACTTCATTCTTTTACATGTATATATCCAGATGTTGTTTAAGACATTTCTTTTTCCTGTTCAATTACCTTAGCACTTATCTCTAAAATCAATTGACACTACATGTAAGGCTTTATTTCTGGGCCTCAATTCAATCCCCTCGAGCTACGTCTATCCTGATGCCAGTACCACACTGTCTTTATTACTGTAGCTTTGTAGTAAGTTTTAAAATCAGGAAGTGTGAGTCTTCCAACTTTGCTCCTCAAAAAAATTAATTTTCATATGAATTATAGGATCCATTTATCAATTTCTATATTTTAAAAAAGCCAGCTGGCATTTTGAACAGGGATTGCATTGACTCTTTAAATCAATTTGAAGGATTTTATCATTTTAGGCAACTTAATTTGGGGGTGATTTGTTGTGCAAAAATTACTGATAAACCACTGCACTTTGGGGAGCATCTGTTTTGCTATGCATAAACACAAAGTGGGGTGATGTCTTTCTATAAAGAAGAAATTTTCTCTCCTAGATAGAAAATGGGGCTTTTCTTAGAACAAAGAGTCATTTGGAGTATTGGTGTCTAAATTCCCAAGTTGGGCCCCTTTCATCACTTCAAGAGACGCTCATGAGCCGCTGCTGATGCCGAGTGCCCCACATGCCCCCACCCCCACCCTTCATCCCTCCTCCCACCAAGGCTGGAGGGACTTTGCTGCACTGGGTAAGGCCTGTGCAAATGACCAGACCTGGGGTTTTTCATCTCCAGCCTTGGGTGCCTCCAGTTTAGAGAAGGGGTTTGCTGAGGAAAATGGGGACCTGGCTACCAGCTCCCCACCCCCAATAGGAGGCCCAGAGCCAAGGCCGAGAATCTTACAGATGAGCAGACCTGAGGCTTTAGCGAAGATAAGAGTAACACCATTGTTGAATTTGAGAGACAGCTGAGAATGTTCCACACCATCCTGGAAGGTTTTATTCTTCTTGGCAGCAACTCTACTGGTAGATTTTTGCCCAAATTCTTCCATTTCTGGTATTTAGTGAAGCAATTCTGAAGTAGAGACTATCTACCTCAGGTGTGGGGTCCTAATTTTTTTCTGTAGTGCGTAGAAGAGTGACAGCCCCCGCAGCCCCGCTTTTGCAAGGTCAGGCTGGGATTCAGAACTAGGAACCGGCCAGGCGCAGTAGCTCACATCTGTACTCCCAGCACTTTGGGAGGCCCAGGCAGAAGGATCGCTTGAGGCCAGGAATTCAAGACCAGCCTGGGCAACATAGTGAGACCCCATCTCTACGAAAGATTTAACAATTAGCTGGGTGTAGTGGTGCACACCTGTAGTCCCAGCTTCTTAGGATTCTGAGGCAAGAGGATCGCTTGAGCCTAGGAATTTGAAGTTACAGTGAACTATGATGGTGCCACTGCACTCAGCCTAGGCAACAGACTGAGACCCTGTCTAACAAAACAAAGGAACAGAACTAGGGACCTAGGAGACCCTGGGGAGGGCTGTGTGCTCCTGAGACCCTCCCACTCCCTGACTCTTTGAAAACTCCACCCTGTGGATCAGCCTCTTTCTCGAAGTCCCCAGGCAGGCTGGGAAACACGTTGCAAACACCAGAGAAGACGTGTGTGGGGTTCACTGCAGGCCTGGGCCACAGCCAGCTCAAGTGCCTACTTTATTCAGGTAGGAAAGGCCCGGGCAGGAATCAGCCCCAGCCTTTCCATGGTGTGAAGGCAACAGGGAGCAAGACAGGAATCTAGAAAAACAATGCACGGATCCAGACAATCACGAAAGACCCTGCTACGTCAGCTTAAGGCAGAGACTGGCCAGAGTGAGAGAAAAGAGAAAGGCCTTTGGCAGCTTGAGCCACGACAGGACCTAGCGGAAGTAGTTGGGACACTCGTGGGCAACCAGGTGCCAGGCTTGGTTAAAGGCGTCCACGACAGCTGGCTCCAGGGGCCCTTCCTCAGTCGCTGCCAAGTTCTGCTCCAGCTGCTCCAGGCTGGACATGCCCAGGATGACCGCGTCCCCACGGGCACCCTGCAAGGGGAGACGGCCAGAGGTCAACACCCTTCTGCACAGCGCCTCCACTCACACGCCCCTCCCAGCCACGGCCCTGCCACGATCTGGGCTCCGTGTTTATGCATATCCTGTGCATCCAGAAAGAACTGCAGGTGCTTTGACAGTTGTCATGATGTCACTTGAGACCTCTGTTCTTTCCCCTGCCCCCACACGGCTCACCCAGATAGCCGACCTTCACAGCCCAGTTCTGAACCCCAAAAGCTGTGACACTGTGGCTAGGTCATTCAACCCCTCAGAGACTCCATTGTCTTGATTTTCAGCGTGATTACGGGTGTGAAAACTTATGCGACTCACTAGCTCCCATTACTGAGCACCTACTGTATACATATGTCAGACACTATGCCACCTCCAAAGTTGAAGTTAGAGAAAAGTCTGCACCAGGAAGACAGGGGACAGCAAGAGAGAGGAAACCCTAGCTCCCACCAGCGGAGGGAGAGTAGTTGGTCTACGGTTAAACCTGTATTAAAATTTCTGTCCCCTTAATAGCTGTGTGAACCCCAGTTCCCTCGTCAATAAAACTGGGATAATCCTACTGCATAAGGCCTATGGGATGACGAAATCCACGTTGGTAAAGCCCTTGTTACAAAGCCCGGCAGGTAGATAACATCAACAAACAGTGGGAAGAATGCCCAGGAGGACTGGGAGGAAGAGAAATTTCAAAAGAATAGAGAAAACAAACTCTTTCGAAGTCCCCTAAAGGTCATTCTAGCTCCCAGGAAGGGCAGCAGCACCCAGGGGTGGCTGGTTACCTGCAGCTGGGAGTGGTGGTACATCCACCGCAGGGCAGCTGAGGTCATGCTGGGGGCGCTGGCGCCATATGTGGCCTGCAGGGCCTTCTCCACCAGGGCAATGGCCTGAAAGTGGTGCTCCTTCCAGTAGCTGGGCAGACAGGGATGGTGGCACAGGGATCAGTTCCTTGGGGTCACCCTAGGGCAGCCACCCATCCCCCATACTGTGCAGCCCTGAGGGGCCAGCGTCCTCTCTAGCCAGGGGTCTCCTACTTCATGGGGTCTCAGAACCACCCAGGAGGCTGGCTCCCTCACCAGAGCCCTCACTGACATGTCGATTCCTGAGGACTCCTGAACCTGCCCTATGGCACCTAGTGACACAAATGTAGCTAAGATGGGGTGGGACTCGCCCAAGGCCTCCTGAGCTCCACCCTAGGTTCTTTCTCTCCTTCTCGGCAGGTGATGTCTCAGGGAAGAGCTGGGCCTTGGAGACCATAAGGCCCAGGGAGCCCCATTTCCTCAGGAGGTCCCAAGGAAACAAGAAGAAACC